AATTGTATATAAAATATAATTTACTGATTATTTCACGTAGGTGGTTCGCCAATTGTATTTGAATCCATTTATTATTTTATATTAGTTTATTTACATTGATTAGCCACGATTATTTTATTTGTTACTTAGATTATAATGATTTGTCTTCCACGATTTATTCATATATTAGTTATTTACATTATTATTATTTTATTCTCTTGATTATTTTTAATATAATTTTGGTTAGTTACCTTTAATTACCATGACTATATATTTAATTTAGTTATTTACAGGATTATTATTTCATTCCTATGATGCTTACAGTATAAATTATTTACATTAATTTAATTTAATTTACATGATTATGTTTCTAGGGGCGATACCACAGTAAATAATTGTATATAAAATATAATTTACTGATTATTTATTTCACGTAGGTGGTTCGCCAATTGTATTTGATTCCAATGATTATTTTATATTAGTTTATTTACATTGATTAGCCACGATTATTTTATTTGTTACTTAGATTATAATGATTTGTTTTCCATGATTTTTTTATATATTAGTTATTTACATTATTAAGATTTTTTTCTTTTATTATTTTTAAGTTAACTTTAATTACCATGACTATATATTTAATTTAGTTATTTACAGGATTATTATTTCATTCCTATGATGCTTTCAGTATAAATTATTTACATTAATTTAATTTAATTGACATGATTATGTTTCTAGGGGCGATACCACAGTAAATAATTGTATATAAAATATAATTTACTGATTATTTATTTCACGTAGGTGGTTCGCCAATTGTATTTGATTCCAATGATTATTTTATATTAGTTTATTTACATTGATTAACCATGATTATTTTATTTGTTACTTAGATTATAATGATTTCTTTTCCATGATTTATTTATATATTAGTTATTTACATTATTATGATTTTTTTTTCTTTTATTATTTTTAAGTTAACTTTAATTACCATGACTATATATTTAATTTAGTTATTTACAGGATTATTATTTCATTCCTATGATGCTTTCAGTATAAATTATTTACATTAATTTAATTTAATTTACATGATTATGTTTCTAGGGGCGATACCACAGTAAATAATTGTATATAAAATATAATTTACTGATTATTTATTTCACGTAGGTGGTTCGCCAATTGTATTTGATTCCAATGATTATTTTATATTAGTTTATTTACATTGATTAGCCACGATTATTTTATTTGTTACTTAGATTATAATGATTTGTTTTCCATGATTTATTTATATATTAGTTATTTACATTATTATGATTTTTTTCTTTTATTATTTTTAAGTTAACTTTAATTACCATGACTATATATTTAATTTAGTTATTTACAGGATTATTATTTCATTCCTATGATGCTTTCAGTATAAATTATTTACATTAATTTAATTTAATTTACATGATTATGTTTCTAGGGGCGATACCACAGTAAATAATTGTATATAAAATATAATTTACTGATTATTTATTTCACGTAGGTGGTTCACCAATTGTATTTGATTCCAATGATTATTTTATATTAGTTTATTTACATTATTAGCCATGATTATTTTATTTGTTACTTAGATTATAATGATTTGTTTTCCACGATTTATTCATATATTAGTTATTTACATTATTATTATTTTATTCTCTTGATTATTTTTAATATAATTTTGGTTAGTTACCTTTAATTACCATGACTATATATTTAATTTAGTTATTTACATGATTATAATTGTAATCCTGTGATGCTTTTTGTATCAATTATTTACATTAATTTAATTTAATTTACATGATTATGTTTCTAGGGGCAATACCACATTAAATAATTGTATATAAAAAATAATTTACTGATTATTTATTTTGGGTAGGTGGTTTGCCAATTGTATTTGAATCCATTGATTATTTTATATTAGTTTATTTACATTTATTAGCCACGATTATTTTATTTGTTACTTAGATTATAATGATTTGTTTTCCACGATTTATTCATATATTAGTTATTTACATTATTATTATTTTATTCTCTTGATTATTTTTAATATAATTTTGGTTAGTTACCTTTAATTACCATGACTATATATTTAATTTAGTTATTTACAGGATTATTATTTCATTCCTATGATGCTTACAATATAAATTATTTACATTAATTTAATTTAATTTACATGATTATGTTTCTAGGGGCGATACCACAGTAAATAATTGTATATAAAATATAATTTACTGATTATTTATTTCACGTAGGTGGTTCGCCAATTGTATTTGAATCCATTTATTATTTTATATTAGTTTATTTACATTGATTAACCATGATTATTTTATTTGTTACTTAGATTAAAATGATTTGTTTTCCATGATTTATTCATATATTAGTTATTTACATTATTATTATTTTATTCTCTTGATTATTTTTAATATAATTTTGGTTAGTTACCTTTAATTACCATGACTATATATTTAATTTAGTTATTTACATGATTATAATTGTATTCCTGTGATGCTTTTTGTATCAATTATTTACATTAATTTAATTTAATTTACATGATTATGTTTCTAGGGGCAATACCACATTAAATAATTGTATATAAAAAATAATTTACTGATTATTTATTTTGGGTAGGTGGTTTGCCAATTGTATTTGAATCCATTGATTATTTTATATTAGTTTATTTACATTTATTAGCCACGATTATTTTATTTGTTACTTAGATTATAATGATTTGTTTTCCATGATTTTTTTATATATTAGTTATTTACATTATTAAGTTTTTTTTCTTTTATTATTTTTAAGTTAACTTTAATTACCATGACTATATATTTAATTTAGTTATTTACAGGATTATTATTTCATTCCTATGATGCTTTCAGTATAAATTATTTACATTAATTTAATTTAATTGACATGATTATGTTTCTAGGGGCGATACCACAGTAAATAATTGTATATAAAATATAATTTACTGATTATTTATTTCACGTAGGTGGTTCGCCAATTGTATTTGATTTTAATGATAATTTTATATTAGTTTATTTACATTGATTAACCATGATTATTTTATTTGTTACTTAGATTATAATGATTTCTTTTCCATGATTTATTTATATATTAGTTATTTACATTATTATGATTTTTTTTCCTTTTATTATTTTTAGGTTAACTTTAATTACCATGACTATATATTTAATTTAGTTATTTACAGGATTATTATTTCATTCCTATGATGCTTTCAGTATAAATTATTTACATTAATTTAATTTAATTTACATGATTATGTTTCTAGGGGCGATACCACAGTAAATAATTGTATATAAAATATAATTTACTGATTATTTATTTCACGTAGGTGGTTCGCCAAATGTATTTGATTCCAATGATTATTTTATATTAGTTTATTTACATTGATTAACCATGATTATTTTATTTGTTACTTAGATTATAATGATTTCTTTTCCATGATTTATTTATATATTAGTTATTTACATTATTATGATTTTTTTTCTTTTATTATTTTTAAGTTAACTTTAATTACCATGACTATATATTTAATTTAGTTATTTACAGGATTATTATTTCATTCCTATGATGCTTTCAGTATAAATTATTTACATTAATTTAATTTAATTTACATGATTATGTTTCTATGGGCGATACCACAGTAAATAATTGTATATAAAATATAATTTACTGATTATTTATTTCACGTAGGTGGTTCGCCAATTGTATTTGATTCCAATAATTATTTTATATTAGTTTATTTACATTGATTAGCCACGATTATTTTATTTGTTACTTAGATTATAATGATTTGTCTTCCACGATTTATTCATATATTAGTTATTTACATTATTATTATTTTATTCTCTTGATT